TTTGCTCTTACACTGATTTTATTCTTTGTTGCCAAGTTACCAGGCATATCTGCCTTGTTCTACACACACATATATTTCCCCCCAACCTTGGTTTTGGTTGCCATCAGGTTGTTTTTGAATATGCTAGCATTGTCCAGCCCACTGCTGGGGAATGGAGGCTTGTAAGGCAGGAACAAAAGGACTGGAAAGGCTACAGCCATGGCATATTCAGCAGGAATTTGGGAATAAAATACAAGCAGTGTTATTCAAAGTAGCTCTTCAGCTCCCTTYTTCACAGGCCACAAAAATCAAGTAGTTTGTTCTCCTGGCAGATAAATTCTGCCGAGGGTTCTGGGTTCTGCTTCCCCCCACATCCCTGTGCATTTTCCAACCTGGTGCCTCAGGTCAGGGAGTGACAGGATATAAGAACAGAAGGATCCAAATCCCTCCAGAGGTGCTGAGCAGATGGCAGCCTRGGCTGGTTTTCAGGCTGAGAGTGCAGTTTGCAGAGCAGGTGGGGAGAAATAAGTAGTTCGAAGCTCTGAACATGATTTGATGCTGGAGCTGTGGTATTTGGCTTGGACATGCACTGTGCAATGCTTGCAGAGGAGCTATGGAGAGCCTCAGTGGGGAACAGCTGTATTTTGGGGGGATGGAATGATTTATAGACAGAGGAGCTACTGGTCTGAATGAAACTGAGTTGGATTTCTTCTCTGGCTGCTTGAAAGTCAGGCATCAAAGCYGCTCATTTATGTCAAACCTATTCTGCAACTGTGAGACAGACTGAGATCCATTATTACCTGTACATCAAACATAGAGAGAAGCTCTGTTGTTACTGTGGTGGGAGTTTAAGATTGTTCTAATTGGATAAAAAGCATCAGAAACTGCAGAATTCACTTGGTCCCACCTCAGAGGAAACTGGGCATCTATTTAAATTCAGTGCTTGTTTTCAGGGACTTAGCAGAGTTACTRTCCTTCCATCATGAAATTTGCTTTGAACATGTGCCTGGCATATCTGCTATCAGACTGTCCAGCATTTTGGTATTGTGGGTCTAGGTTTCTTTTGACTGTGGTTGATGCCAGCTCATAAATATCTGGGCTGTGAGGAACTGCTTAACTCAGCAGCACGGGCTTCATTTGGAAGGTGCTACATCTTCTCCTGTGCCTTCTTGGAGCAGGCACAGAAGTTTACAGGGATCATAAATAAAATTGCTGTTGGAGTAATTGGTAATGGTCCAGAGCTTTATTCTCCTGCAGTTACGCTAGGGGAAGCAGAAGGGAATTCTTGCACTTTCCTATTTCAGACATTTTTGATTATTTTACCCATCTCTGTGTCTTTTTCTGGGCTTCTTGTTCTTGGAGTCTGATTTATGTTCCTTCAAGCAAGTGACCACATATTGTTCCCAAGGACTCTGTAAAAAATAACTGCAATGCCCTTATCCATTATAATTTTAGCTCATCGGCAGATAAGAAAGAAGGTATTGGCTGTGGTCTGCAAGAAGTGGGGCTTCAGACCCTCCAAATTCCTCTCTTGCTTSTGTGAATCTGCAGAAGGTATAGCAACAAGKTTGTCAGGAGGCTTCTCCTTCCTTYYCTKCTGATGTCCACTAAAATGGAAACATTTCTTGAGGTCTGAAAACCAGAGGTTTGAAMYCYTCACTCTGTAGTGTCTAAATTGCTCCTGGATGAGTGTGGGTGAGAGAGTGTGATGGCTCCAGGTCTCAGCACCTGCAGCATGGGACCARCCTCAAAGGCACAAGATGAAGCATGCAGAGCTGGCAGGAAAGAGAGGCTATTCATGGGAGGACACCCACTGGTTTGGAAGCTCTGAACTGATAATAATACAAGTAACAGCTCTCATAAAAATGCCCCTTATACCAACTGCCTGACAGTGTCTGAGGGTCAGCTCTTGTCTGTGTGCTGCTGGATGAGTCCCTGCCCTGGAACCTGTGCTCCACGAAGGAGGGCTTGGATTTGGCTCTGGTTCTGGTCRTCCTGGCTCCCCATGAACCCGATACTCAGGTCACAGGTGGGGTTGGGGAGCATTGTGTGGGTCATAGTTGCTCTTCTCTGGATCACATACTCTGAGAGGACTCAGCTTGCAAGACCAGAGAGGCCATCCCTGTGTACAAGCAGTGATGTTTTCTCTGAAGGGAAGGGGCYACCACAGCACTGGGATGGAGAGAAAGCTGTGGTTGTTGGTGAGTCTCTGGGGTGGGAGATCCAGCTGGATCCCACTCCATTGATTCCAGGTCCTGAGCCAGCAGGGCAGGGGTCTAGGGACCCTGGGACTAGGGGCCTTGCAGATTGGGGGCCATGGGACCAGGAGTCTCAAGAGGAGCTACAGGTTTTGAATCTCCCATTCTTTGGGCAGAAAGCCCCAGGCAGCTCTGCAGATGGTGCTGGCTGCACRTAGTTCTGCTGCTCTGCAGTGCTGTTAACCTGCCTCAAATGTTAATGGTAAGGCCTCTGCCCCTTTTAGGCTGCTCCCAAAGCAGTAAAACCAGTGTTGCTCTGACCCCATTTGCCTCTCTCCTAAGGGTGACTCTAAGTCTTTAAATCAAAGCCTCTGAAGTCCCTCCTAATGCCTGTGGCCCACCCCTCCATCTGGTGTGTCTGACAGCTGATATGAGGCTGATGTTTCCAGCTGAAGAACTGAAATAGTTTGTTCTTTTCCACGATTCCCTTGGCGAAGAAAAACAAGCCCATTTGTTTAGAAGCTCATAAAAGAGGAGCTTTATAGTAGGAACATTCATAAACTTGTTTGCTTTTGACCTTCTCCACATTGCTGATGGTTTCAAGTTCTTGTCCCAGGCATTGTGCTTGTCTGGGCTGTTCGTGACATTTTTGAAAAACAGCCTCACCCAGAGTAATTTAAATTGCTCAGCACTCCAGAGCTGAGCCTTTGGCCATGCCATCTTTCTCCAGTGTAGGGCTGGGCAGAATGTGTTGGGGGGGTACATTGACAGCCCTATAGAGAGCAGTGTGGACCTGGCTGCCAAAAAGAAACCTGGCCACTAATTCCCTGTCACTTTTTTTTTTTTTTTGAAAGATTAAATGGTGCTACTTAATCAGTGGGCATTTCCCAGGCTCTTAGGTTTCTAAATTAATAAAAGTGTATTCTATGAGGGTAAGAAATCAGATCTTTAATGAGTGTGGCTCATGGGAAGCTCGTATGTTTGAAAGAATGCTTGTTCCTTTTCTGAGATAATAAGACAGCAAGTATGAAGTACAAGCCAGAAGAGCCACCTTGATTTATGTCTAGAGGCAGGAAATTGAAGTCACCTTTGCTGGTCTGTAAGACCTCAAGTGTCAGGTCAATATTCCCAATGTAATGCTGGCATCTGCTATTTTGAGCAAATAAAAATGTTGCTATATTTTCACTTATGTTTTTGCTGACTGGGGAGGGGCTCTCCAAATGGCAAATCCTTGTCTGTGTCTGATGCTTTGAATTCCCTTCTTGAATGGTACTGTTATGGATTTCTTCAAAATATGTGTTGAGAGCCCTGTCCATTTTTCAAGCACTTTCTCATCTTATTTTACTTCAGTCTGGAGGGAGTCTACCTTTTCTTGCTCTTTGCATCTGTAAGACCTTTGTTCTTCCACTAAGACCAAGGACATCACAAATTCCTAAACTTTTAGTCCATTGAAGGCTCATGAGACTGCCTGGAACGTGTGCTTGCCCATGACCCGGCTCTTTGCTGTACATGGACGCAGACAAAATTCACTGACTCATTGGTGTATTATGGGAAAGTACGTGTACTGATTTGATATCTTTCACACTCTTTGGAACAAGCTTTTGCAGAGTAGCATTGTCTCATTTCAGATAATTCCTAGATTCAAACTGTCAGCATGGTGTACTGTTGAAATCACATGTTTCCTTTGTCTTTTAAGTGCTGTAAACGAGACACAGCTGGAAGGAGGTTTACAAGTAGTTCAGTTCTAATTTCCTCTATATTCCCACTGTACTTATTAGCATAAAGCATTCCCTTCATTAGTTTTTCTGAAGACAGAAAAGGGAAGAGAAACAGAAGAGAAAGACTTCAGCCTTATGGTGGATACCAGGTGGAAGCCCGGGATGCTGGAAACAGCTCACCTCAGCCCTGGGGAGGGGAGGGACATCATGTTTTATCAGCCTTTGCAGTCTGTATCAGTAAGTGGAGCTAATTGTTATAATGGGAGGKAAGTTAATGCATTCTGTCAAATAACTGCCACTGTTTCCTCTGCACAGTGAAATGTGCATTGTTGTGCAGCTGGTGATGTGGCAGGTCTGTGTCACTGCGCCAGGGGTCTGAGGTCTGTGCCAGGGGGTCCTCGGGCCTGTCTCTCTCCATCCTCACCTTTCCTGTTTGTCTGATCTTTGCCTGGCCCTTGTCCTGACGCTGTGGGAGAAGGACATATGTGCAGATGTACTGTCTGGGCTGGAGTGAGCTGCCAGTACCAAGCTGTCCTGTGCTTCCCTGGCATTACTCCAGGGTACACCCTTAATCAAACTGTGCCTGTTCCAATCACTTCCCTATTACTTACTGGTTTGTGTCTTTATTGTTGTTATTATTAAGCTGAAAATGTTAGAGAGCTCTGTAATAACCAGCAATCAGAATTTCTGACAGCATTCCCCGTTTTGGGCATCAATCTTTGTTAGACTCTGATTTAACACCTGTTTGTCTCATTACTTGTGCTGAGAAGGGAGATTAAGGTCTGTGGGGTTACAAGTGCTGGCTCTGAACCTTTTCCAGCCCTGATCAGCTGGAGCCTTGCCAAGGCTTGCACCCACAGCAGGGAAGTGGCCCTCTGTCCGTGAACCCTGGCAGGAGGGGGACAGCTGCTCACAAGCAGCAGCTAGCTTCTGCCTGCCAGTTACTTAAAAGAAGACCACAGCCCTGAGCACAGATGGTAATTGTCTGCTGGGATGTTTTTTCAACAGAAACTTTTGTTTCCCATTCCTCCAGCCATGGTTCTTTCATTGAGAGATGTTCTCACCTAATTAATCCCTTTTGCCATCTTTGCTTTCTTTTTCCCAGGCCTGTGTGTTTGATCTGAACATTAATAAGCTTGAACCTCTCTGCACCCAGCCAGTGGCAACCAGTAAGAAAAATAAAACAACCCATGTCCAGTTTAATCCTGCCTACCCTGTTATCCTCGTTGGAGATGAACAGGGCCTCATTACCTGCTTGAAGCTCTCTCCCAATCTGCGCAAGAAGCCCAAGGTAAGGATAAGCTGCATTTCYCCAACCACAGCAGGTCTCTTCAGGCTTTGTCACCGTCCCCTCTCCTTTCATGCAATGGTTCTGGCAAAGCTCCTCTCTCTAGCAAGGTACTTAGAATTACCTCAAGTCTTTTGGGTATGATGTCTGGGATGGTAAATCCTTGTGTCAGTTCCTGTTTGAGCAAGAGGACTCAGTTTGCTCCCGGTAAGGAGTGGGGACCAGTGGGAAGGGGGTTTGCTGTCCACGGCTGTCACCATGGTCCAGACAAGCTCTGGTCCAGAAGCTCTGCAGATGTTCATTCGTTTCCCAAAGTTCACGTGTTTTCTGAGTTTTGGGTTCTATTTGCAAAACTCTTTGAAATCAAGTGAAGGATATCCCAACTCTTCCCCAAGTCCTGCCACAGAACCCCTGCTGCCTGTCTTGTTGTGCTCCTGCATCAGAGCCTGACCACCATGTCAACTGTCCTGTAAATGAGCCAGCAGTATCTTTAATATGTAAGGAGACTTGGGGTCCTTGTCTCGAGTRACAGCAAGGAGATACATGTGCCTCTGTGGGTTGGTAAAGTTTTTTTTTTCACCCATCCATGAGGGCCAATTGTGAAGGATGATAACCTTTCTCACACAGATCTGTTACTGGATTTTCTTTCTGGTCTTCATCCAGCTATGAGTTGAATGGCTGTAAATGCAGTGTCCTTTTTTGCCCTTGTAATTCTCATATCCAGTTGTCCTGTGTTAAGTGGAGTCTTTCAGTTTCAGGCTTTTTAGAACTGATCCAAGAAAGCAATCTCTCAAGATGATCATCTTTTATTTATGTACTCCCAAATGTTTTATATACTCTACTAATCTGCTGTATTAGGCAGGGTCTTTGGCCAGGAACTAATCACACTAGTGTCACTCCAGAGTCTTCAGAGTGGTTTTTAAAGGATTCCTTCAGCTGGATGCCRCTGGAAATGTGAATCTTCCCTGTGCTTAGAGGGCACAGAAAAYAGTGGCGTGGCAATTTCTTTGGGGCTGAGTTGTGGAAGATGTGGAGAAGAATGTCTCATGTGCTTCACAGTTTTCTATTTCCATTAAAACTTCAGCCCTCAGGGCTGTCCTTAGGTTGACTTAAGATAAGCTTTCACATTGCTTTATGAGTCCTTCCTGGCATGGGTGAGCAGTGTGTGCCATGGACCCTGCCTGTGCAAGGGCTTAAGCAGTGGAGAGGGGTCACAGACTTAAATATGGCAGCTCTCCCTTCACATTGGCTGTGGGCTGAGAGCAATATTGGCTGTGGGCCGGGATCATAGAATGGTCTGGGTTGGAAGAGACCTTAAAGATCATCTCRTTCCAACYCCCTACCCCGGGCAGGGACACCTTCCCCTAGACCAGGTTGTTCAGAATTCCATCCAGCCTGGCCTTGGACACTGCAAGTGATGTGGCATCCACAGCTTCTCTGGACAAACTGTGCCAGTGTCTCACTACCTTCACAAGAAAGAATTTTGTCCTTAAATCTAATCTAAACCTACTCTCTGTCAGTTTAAAGCCGTTCACCCTTGTTCTGTCACTACGTGTCTTGTAAAAAGTCCCTCTCCATCCTTGTAGGCTCSTTTTAGGTGCTGGAAGGCCACAAGTAAGTCACCCCTGAGATTTCTCTTTTTCAGGCTTGAAAAAAACACTTCTCTCRGCCTTTCCTCAGAGGAGAGATCCTCCATCCCTCTGACCATTGTGGTGTCCCTCCTATGGACTGGCTCCAGCAGGTCCCTGTCCCTCCTGTGCACGGTCCCCAGGGCTGGATGCTCCAGGTGGGTCTCAGCAGAGCGGAGCAGAGGGGCAGAATCCCCTCCCTCCCCTGCTGCCCACGGTGCACTGGGTGCAGCCCAGGACACGTTTGGCTCTCTGGGCTGTGAGTGCCATGGCCGGGGCATGTCCAGCCTCTCACCCCCAGCACCCCCGAGTCCTTCTGGGCAGGGCTGCTCTCGGTCTGTTCGTGCCCAGCCTGGGCTGATCCCGGGGGCTGCCCTGACCCAGGGGCAGCACCAACATATAGCGTTGAACTTTACGGTGTTCCCATGGGTCACTCCTCAAGCTTGTCTGGGTCCCTCTGGATAGCAGAGGGATACCTCTCCTTCAGGTATGAATTCAAATGTCTACTTCTGCTGCTGGTGGCCAGCAGCAGCCCTCCATGCAGTTATGAATGTTGTCATTTCTCTTTGCTGACCTTCTTTAAAAGCAAATTGCATGTTGGTGACAAAGCAATTTAAACTGTGAGTTTAGGAGTAGCTCCATCGCTTACTGCTGACCGTAAACCAACAGGTACTACATCCCACGCAACATATAAACGGGATGGAAATGSACTCTGCTGCTCTGATGTTATTAAACTATCTGTCTTCTGCTGGCCTGGTTAGGTTTGAAGGGATCCTAAACACTGAACTAAATGTTTCCCACACATGTGGAGAGGAAGGAGGAATGCTCAGACATGACTGGTTATGTGTGCGGGTTCCTTGACTGAGGCCAGCTCATTCCTGAAAGCTATGAGGATTTAAAACAGATGATGTGCAGTGTGGTGGCAAAGTGATGGAACTGGCCTAGCCTGCTCAGTGCCACAAATGGTGGCACAAAAGTGATGAGGATATTTAGCTGATGGAAGAGAATGTTTTAGCAGAGGGAAGTCAAGCCCTGTCAGAACAGGCTGTGCCATCCAGTGTGTCCTCCTGTCTATCTCCTTCCTYTGCCAGTGCCAGCCTTTGTGTCCTTAGCAGCAAGCCTCCAGCCSTGTTTGCAAGAATATCATCTCTCAGTGGGAAGTCAGATGTACTTCCAGAGTATTGATCCAGGCTCCTCTAAAGATCAGCTCAGTGKGCTCTTCACATCCTTAGCCTGTGCATCCACCTTTCCTCTGTAAAATAATTCAACTTTTCCCTCTTTTCTGGGATTCCCCTGACTGGMGTTTACAGTCACTTCCAGAGATTTCTGTAAGTGCAGAGGGTCCAAAACCATGTAGAGGAGTCCTGACACACCTGCTGCCTCCTTGCAGATAGAAAAAGATACTGTCCATGCCTGGCTCAGTACCTGGGTGTCACAGGCTGTTCTCTTCGCCACTTGATCCCCACAGAGTCCAGTGGGGCAAACTGCCTGACAGCCAAGTGGACGAGCCACAGACAGCGCCTCTGAAGGTTGGGCCTTARTACCAAACCCAGCATCTGTGAGCTCAGCTGCCTGATCATGCTCTGTCAGCTCCTTTGGAGATGGGAAGGTGCCTTTTGTTGAGTTMTGGCAGAAGCCAGGATGCCAAAGGCACAGGGAAGTCAGGGGCTCATCCAGGTCCCACTACCCCTCTGTTTCACACCTATGTCACAGAGGATTGCCTTTTCACACAGCTGGGACAACTGCTTTTGGCAGGTAAAATTTGTAGCCTAATMTTTTTTGAGAGAACTCTTAATAGCCATATCATTCCAAACCCCATGCTTCCCCTAAAAACAGACACAGTGGTGTCTGCTCTGCGTTCTGCAGATTCCTTGGCTATTGCTGGGCTTGCAAAATAGAGCTTGCAAAAAAAAAAAATGACAGAACTAACTTTACCCTAGTGAGATTTCAAACATTCTGAGTTCATTGTGTTTTGGCTGTTAGTTAAAGCTGGTGTGGTGGATAAGAGGGAAGAGGGAAGATAAGGATGCYTGGGTTCTCATCAGACCTTGGTTCCTTCCTCTCTTCATGTCCTTGAGCTAGGAAGGAAGGTTCAAGAGCTCTTTAAATAATTTGCAGGGTTGGCCTGCAGCTTAATTAATTCATGTTCGTAAAACACTTGGGGATCTTTAAGAAGTGTTATTTAATACTCTGAGTTTTGCTGTCAGCTACATTAGCACGGTCTCATTTATGAACACTTGGCAGAACAAATATGCCAAAGGGGGAACTTCTTGAAAGAACTCAGGTGGTGTTTTCAGAAGTGACTTTCACCAAGACACACAGTAAAATCTTTAAAACCACCTAAAACTCCTTGTGAGTTTTGGCCTCCTAAACTCMTAATGTCACATGGGAAAAGGTGCATTTGTTGTTGAGAGGAAGATGAGGACAGGGTCTCTGCCACCCATCAGGCCGTTGTGTCAAGGGCACACAAAGTGCACAGAAGTTCTGTGTACAAGGGATGTGAAGCACAATGAGTGTCCGTGTGTTTGTGCTGTGGTGATTCGAGCCTGGATCTCTTCCTACCCCCACACACTGAAGTCTCTGGGGCAGGACAGAGAGATCCCCTCACACCTCCTCTCCCCAGGCTGCAGTTATTTCCATGAGGTGAAACTAGTTTGGGTCCTTCTGCTCAGATCTCAGAAGTGGGGGACAGAAATGCCTGCAGTATTTTAGAATGCAGCAATAGGAACAAGTGACTCTCTGCTGTCATCCAAGCCACTTTTAGACTCCAAGCGCTCTTTAAATATTGCAGCGGATGTCAGGCAGGAATTGTTTAACTAATAAAGTATCATTTCTAATTTGTAACGACCTTGGTGGTTGAGTTCACCCAAGGGAAGCATTGCTGTAAGAAGAATCAGTTTGGGGCAGAGCTGTTTAATTAGTGAGCCTTCCGGGTTTCATTCGGGGGTTGGAAGAAATTAAAGCATTTTGTCATCACAGTCAGAAGAATGTTGCTGCTCATAGGATTTGGTTTGTTTTTCAAAAACTGCTAAAGTAGCCTGGCTTAACCTCTGCCAACGCCAAAAGTAAGCAGAAGATRGTAAAAAAAAGTCCAGTGTTTTTTAGAAATTTTTGGAGAGCACAGCAGAGTAGGAATAGAAGAGAAAGTGGATCAAAGAAAGGTTGCCATACAGAATGCTGAGGCAAGGGCAAATTTCTTGGCCAGTACCCAGGCTGAATGCCAGGGAGGCAGACAGCTTCTTGGCCTGATGCTTGTCTTGGATATTTATCTTGGATTATTTAGGATGATTATCTCAATCTCTGCTCCTGCTACTGGTTTCTTCACATGCAAAGCATCTCTTTTTCTGTTTGTTGGTGACAACTGAATTTCCTCCA